CAAATCATGATATACAATTTAAATACCTCACCATTTTGTCAATTATACCTCAATAAAGCTGGAAATGCAAAACAAATAAACAACAAATCTTCTCATTAATTCAGAGGCATTAATAAAGATTTTCTAAATATAAGGATATGGGTTGTGGTGAAATTTATTATACTAAATATTTATTTTAAAAGAAAATGATTTGTAGGTAATTAATGTACTCAAACTTCCTGGAAGGTAAGGAAGAAAACCAATAAAAAATGCACAGCAGCAAATACAGTTCTTTAAGTCTTAAGGATTTATTTTGGGCAAATGAGTAGATAAACAAATACCCTGAACTATTAAGGCAGTTCATCTACCAGTAAAAAAGTAAGTTTGTGAGTCAGTTTGCAAATTCACTTATATGAAACCAAACAACTAATCTGAATGACTCTTTCTCTTACCAGCCAAAGGTATACCCTGAATCTCAAATTATTTATTCAAAGTTTTCACTGAAATATTTGACTCTTTTGTTGCTGTGTGATGTAGTCTTCTAGTGAACATTTATTACTAAATTACTGGTCTTCTAACTGGAGTGAACATAAGCTTGGCAATACCCTGGTATTTTCCAAGGGATATAAAACGAGAATTATTTTTAAAGATTCAATTTCTAGCTACTCAATTGCCATACAATCTGTTCCCTAAAAATGAAGTACCTGAGAATGTGTCTGTTCCCTGGTGGCTCAGATGGTAAAGAATCTGTCTGCAATGGAGAAAACCTGGGATCCATCCCGGGGTTAGGAAGATCCCCTGGAGAAGGAAAAGGCAACCCACTCCAGTATTCTCGCTTGGAAAATCTCATGGACAGAGGAGCCTGGCAGGCAACAGTCTATAGGATCAGAAAGAGACAGACATGACTCAGAGACCAACGCTTTCATGTGTCACTTTGTTTCCTAAAAATGAAGTACTTGAGAATATGTCTGTAGTTAACCCCTGCACACTTTATAATAAAAGTATATTTCTCATGTATCACAAATCTTACTATACTATGCCAGACTTAAAGACCTCCAGGCTGACAAAGTAACAGTTTGAAATGTTGCTTTTAAAGCCTCTTTTAATGAAGGCCCCATAAACTCATGATATGTTTATACATATTTGGGTTAGTAACAAATAACTGGCTAGAAACAGTCTTTTGACCTCTGTGTGATGAAAATGAAATATATTAAAGAGTGAAACAGTGGGAATAACTTTTGTTTAATGACTTTGCCTCTTCAACCTCCCAAGAATTTTCAAAGAATGTATAGCTTTTAAAGGAGACTCCGAGAAAAGTAAAGAGACAATAAGAAATATTGTCTTTTTTATATCCAGGTGACAAACATATACAAAGCTTTGTTAACTACCTATTTTATAATTGAAATATTTTAAGACTTATAAGAGCATCACAGGAAATATTAATACCTATCTGCCATAAAGCATGCTCTTACATTTTCAGCATCCTCATAAATAAGAGCCTAGAGATTACTGCCATAACTTTATTTCAGATTGTGTCTAAATGTCACATGATTTGGAAGAGGAGGGAGAAGCTCACAATTTTCTCTTAACAGAACATTTTTAGCAAAAGGGATGTATCCAAAAAATTCAGCATTTTATATTTTAAAAACTTATTAAGTCTGAGGATAAATAATGCCCATTTGTTGAAAGGTTACTGAATAATGTAAATGTGTATCCACTATTTAAACTCTGGCAAGAGTATTCTGTTTGCTGTCTTTCCTCAATGAATAGTCTACTCACTTATTCTTATCATGTATTTACTTAGATTTTGATAAAATTTTATTGTGAATTCTCTGTAAATTCAAAACTTTCAGTTCTATTCAGTTCAGTTGCTCAGTCATGTCCAGCCAGCTCTTTGCGACCCCATGGACTGCAGCACACCAGGCCTCCCTATCCACCACCAATTTGCAGAGTTTATCCAAACTCATGTCCATTGAGTTGGTGATGCCGTCCAACTATCGTGTCCTCTGTTGCCCCCTTCTCCTCCTGCCTTCAATCTTTCCCTGGAACAGGGTCTTTTCCAATGAGTCGGCTCTTCGCATCAAGTGGCCAAAGTATCTTTTTCACTCTCCTCTTTCACTTTCATCAAGAGGCTCTTTAGTTCTTCTTCACTTTCTGCCATAAGGGTGGTGTCATCTGCATATCAGAGGTTATTGATATTTCTCCTGGCAATCTTGATTCCAGCTTGTGCTTCATCCAGCCCAGCGTTCTGTATTAAATGTTTTGATGGCAGAAAGCACACTGTGAAGCAATTTTTCTCCAATTAAAAAATAATTTTAAGAAATAAATAAATACAAAAAAATATTAAATGTTTTGTATGTACAGCTGCTCCAGCAGCAATTTTGAAAACCAATATGAAATTTTCATGCAAATATATATTAAATTTGAATAAAAATCTCTTGGGAGTAGTTAAATGGAAATATGAGTTCAAATTGAAATTTCCTACACATTCAGACATTTTGAAGGAAAAGTTTGCATATTTTTAAATAAATAATAGTAGGTATCAAATTTCTATGGCATTTAAATTTCATAAATGTGTTTGAAATGGTGATATAAAAGTTTTATTTTAAAATATTAACAATTCCAATGTTCTGAAATCATAGCCACTGTGAGCTATTTGCATTTGACTAAAATTTTAGTTATCAAAAAGATGGTTTTATTGGTATGGCACTATACTTCCCCAAAGTGTTAGGTCTCATAATATTTGGGAAAATAATTCAAATAGGGTTCTTTATGGTTTAGAAGTTTGAGGTTCTGGACTATACCAAGCATACTGTGAGTATCATACGGTTACAGAGATTTCTCCCACTTTCACATATGCATTTGCAGTAAGAACATCTCTGTGTTTTCTAAACAATTAGCAAATGAAGTCTATCAAATCTTATTACATTGCCTTTAATGACTGATATGTTATAATAAACCAACTCAAAAACAGAAAGACATGGACACGTCTCTTTCTCTTACTGAATGACTAAAGTACGGGATGAACAACATCAAACTCAACCCTACACCTGGGTTAATCTGTATTTCATGAGATTTTTCTTCATTAAATGTTCTACTGTTGTTCCATCTCATGTCAATTCAAAAGAGTCAAATGACCCAATCCTCTCAGACTAAATATGGGAAAATCAGAGATCAAATGAAAGATAGAGACTTGCTCAAGTCATATAAGCCACTAAACTTATCAACTATATATGTCAGGCAGTCTTAGTGTGGTAGGCTAAATAAATCATCCCCCAAAGATATATTTATTTCCTAATCTTCAAAACCTGTAAATATTATCTTACATGCAAAATATAGACTATCACCTTACATAGAAAAATACATAAAGTAAGCATTTTGAGAGGAGGTGCTTTATGCTAGATTATCTGGCATGTATGTATGTGATGGTATGTATGCTTTCAAGAGAGAATTAGAGGAAGTTTTGAGAGAGAGAGAGAGAGAGAGAGAGAGAGAGAGAGAGAGAGAGAGAGACAAAGTTAAAGGCAATGTGAAGAGGGAAGCAGAGATTGGATTTTAGTGACCATAAACCAAAGAACACCAAAGAATGCCAGCCAACTATCAGAAATAGGAAGGAATCTCTCCCAGAGTCTCCAGAAAGAACACAGTCCTACACACACTTTATGATTTCAGATTTCTGGCCTCCATAATTGTGAAAAGAATACATTTCTGCTGTTTTAAGATACCACCAAGTTTATGGTAATTTGTTACAATAGCCTCAGGAAATGGATACACCTAGGTATAAAATGATGAACAAGATCCTTGAATTCATGAAGTTTAGTCTCTCAATTAAAAAAAAAAGTCAGAGGCACTAGAATAAGTAACTCTAAAATACTTGTCGTAGCATTAAAATGTCTCAAAAGACAGTTTCCACATGATATATTCTTTTGCCATATCTTGTGGATGTATATGTAAGCCACTGTTAATTGTATATTCCCAGATGTTAAGCTTGAGAAGTAAGGTATGTCAGAAAAGTTTAATGCCAGACTTGTTACTTCTTACAGCTGCAATGTTGATCGGACCTACTATAAGTTTTCCTTGAAGTAGTTAACACAGAATATATGGCCTGCAATTCATTTATATTTCATATATAATTAGTAACTAGAAAGTAAAAACAAATCAGGTACTTGATAAAAATGAAAAATTATATTTTTGCAGCAGTAAAGAATTTATACTCAAAAGAAGAACAGTTTTATGAATTTGTAATCAAGGATGTGAAATTGCAAAGACAACAGAATTGAGCAGAGTTAATTTGGTGATGGTAACAAATTCACACATTACCAAGATCACCCACTTCCATGTGGGACATGCAACGCCCTGATAAATGTTGCTCTTGGCAAAGCATCATACAAAAAAATGACTCTAAAGATCTTTCTTCTCTTGTTGCCATTCGTTATTACTCCTTTGAGGAATGAGTGGCTGTGAAATCAGCACCAGTACAAATAACAGACTCCATTTTCCTACCTGATCTATTTAAAACCATATGTGGGAAGATGCTTTCAAATCTTGCCATTTCCTTTACAAACTGGCACACAGGTATGGCATACAGCTGTGGTCATTACCAGATTGTTACCTTTTTTTCAGAATGGACAGGCAATATGCTCTTAGAGGTTATGGCACTGGACATGCCCTCACAAAAAACATGGCTGAATTTCTGCAAAGCAGCATGAGTCTGTGCTTGACAAAATTAAGGAAGCAGGGGAATTTGGAAGTCTTCATTATCAATCAAGAAATATGGGCTGGGGCACCGGTCAGGATTGGGACCACCTGCGGGGAGTGTGCCGGGCTATGGCTGCTGCTTGGTCCGCGGAAGCTTGTGCGCTCCGCGCATCCCTCTTCTGTCCGGCCGAGAGGACCTGATGCAATGCACTGCATTTGCAACCGCAAATGAGTAACATCTTGGAAGCCTGTCTCAAGATTTGATGTCCCATGGATACGTCGAAGTGACTAGCTTGCCTCAAGGTACATCTCCTTGAACCAGGGGCCAAATGCAGCAAACATTCTGGTGATGGGTGTGGAAAATTCTGCAAAAGAAGGTGATCCTGGAACAATATGCTTCTTCAGGGAAGGAGCTGCTGTGTTCTGGAATGTGAAAGACCAAACTATGAAGCATGTGATGCAAGTTCTAGAAAAACATGAAATTCAGCCCTATGAAATTGCATTGGTTCACTGGGAAAATGAAGAGCTTAACTACACAAAAACAGAGGGGCAGTCAAAACTTCACAGAGGGGAAATCCGGTTAAATTCAGAGTTGGATTTAGATAACGCCATTCTAGAGAAATTTGCTTTCTCAAATGCCCTTTGCCTCTCAGTGAAACTTGCTATCTGGGAAGCATCACTGGATAAATTTGTTGAATATATTCAGTCGATTCCAGAGGCTTTAAAAGCTGGGAAGAGAGTGAAACTATCTCATGAAGAAGTTATGCAGAAAATGGGTGAACTCCTTGCCCTAAAACACCATATAAACTTGAGTTCAGACTTCTTGATCACCTCTGATTTCTACTGGGACAGAGAAAATCTGGAAGAACTTTATGATAAAACTTGTCAGTTCCTCAGCATTACTCGTAGAGTCAAGGTACTGTTTGAACTGGGACGAGTATTTTTTCTGATTAAGTGATGACCAAAGGAAAAGTGTTGTTGCAAGAGATACTCGAGTTCTACAATCAAACATTAAGTGTTCATCTGCTATCTTTTAATAGGTATTTTTTCTTAAATCAAGGCATTGTTACAATGATCTTTTTCAGTTTCTAGTATTGCTGCTTGAATAAAAACTATGAAGAACCCGGGGGGGGGGGAGAAATATGTATTAAGCATCAACTATGTGACCAGCACTGCTCTAGGTACAACGGACACAGTAGTAGATACAAGAGACAATTATTAACTTTATAGAAGCTTACATAGAAGCTTAGTGAATTGCAAGAGAAAATAAATAAAACATGGAATAGGGATGGGGGGGTACCGGAAATGCAAGTGATTTGTGATTGTATATAAAGTGATTGGATAGGCTTCATGGGGAAGGAGACTTTGAGAAGAAGAAAAAAAAAAAGGTTAAAAATGTGAGGAAGTAAAACCCATAGGTATTGGCAGAAAGAACACAACAAGAAGAGGGAACAGAAAGTGCAAAGGCCCTGAGGTCTAGGCATGTCTGGTATGTTTGAAGAACAGAAGAGAGGCAGTATTGATGGAGGCAAATAAGGGACAGCAGGATAGTAAGAGAGAACTTTAGAGAATCAACAGGATCTCTATTTGGAGGCAGGGGACAACCAGAGGTAGGGTCTTATAAAAGTGATTGGAAGGACTCTGATATTACTCTCAGGGACAGAGCTAGTCACTGGAGGGACTGAACAGAAAAGAGACATGATTTAACTTATATTTTAAAACAATCACTCTGGTAGTCATGATGACTGAATGGAAATGAGGACAGAGAAGGGAGGTCTTTTAGAAAACTACTGGATTAATGCAGTATTATGCAGTATTAATGCAGAAGAATAATGGTAGCCTGAGTCAGGCTGTCTTTACTGACAATATAAATCTGAGGTAAGCATAGGTATACTGGGCTACAGTGGGTGAGTGCTTGTATGTCAAGGGAGATTCAGTCAGGGCTAGCATGATCATGTAACCTAATCAACCAGACAGTTCCTATTAAGGTCTATTTTATAGGTGTAATAACAAAGTGCCCTATTCTGCTCTCAAAAGTACCCCGGATTAGACAAAGATGCCACAAAAAAGAAAAACTTCAGGCCAATATCACTGATGAACAGAGATGCAAAAATTCTTAACAAAATTCTAGCAAACAGAATCCAACAACATATTAAAAAGATCATACATCATGACCAAGTGGGCTTTATCCAAGGGATGCAAAAATTCTTCAATATTCACAAATCAATCAATGTGAGACCCACATTAACAAATTGAAAGATAAAAACCACATGATTTTCTCAATAGACACAGACAAAGCCTTTGACAAAATTCAACATCCATTTGTGATCAAAACTCTTCAGAAAGAAGACATAGAAGGAACATACCTCAACATAATAAAAGCCACATATGATAAACCCAGAGCAAACATTATCCTCGATGGCAAAAAATTGAAAGCATTTCCCCTAAAGTCAGGAACAAGATAAGGTTTCCACTCTCACCACTACTACTCAACATAGTTTTGGAAGTTTTAGCCACAGCAATCAGAGAAGAAAAAGGAATAAAAGGAATCCAGATTGGAAAAGAAGAAGTAAAACTCTCACTGTTAGAGATTACATGATCCTCTACATGGAAAACCCTACAGATACCACCAGAAAGTTACTAGAGCTAATCAGTAAACATAGTAAAGTTGCAAGATATAAAATTGATACACAGAAATCCCTTTTGTTCCTATACACTAACAATGAGGAAACAGAAAAAGAAATTAAGGAAACAACCCAATTCACCATTGTGATGAAAAAAAATAAAATAAATTACTTAGGAATAAATTTACCTAAAGGAACAAAAGACCTACATATATAGAAAACTATAAAACACTCATGAAATATATAAAAGATGACACAAATAGATGGAGAAATACACCATGTTCATGTATCAGAAGAATCAATAGAGTGAAAATGAGTATACTACCCAAAGCAATCTATAGATTCAATGCAATCCCTATCAAGTTACCAATGGTATTTTTTCAGAGAACTAGAACAAATCATTTCACAATTTGTATGCGAACACAAAAAAACCTCGATTAGCCAAAGCAATCTTGAGACAGAAGAATGAAACTGGAGGAATCGTCCTGCCTGACTTCAGACTATACTACAAACCTACAGTCATCAAGACAGTATGGTACTGGCACAAAGACAGATATATAGATCAATGGAACAAAATAGGAAGCCCAGAGATAAATCCATGCACCTATGGACACCCTATCTTTGACAAAGAAGGCAAGAATATACAATGGAGAAAAGACAATCTCTTTAATAAGTGGTGCTGGGAGAACTAGTCAACCACCTGTAAAAGAATGAAACTAGAATACTTTCTAATGCCATACACAAAAATAAACTCAAAATGGATTAAAGATCTAAATGTAAAGCCAGAAACTATAAAACTCCTAGAGGAAAACATAGGCAGAACACTTTCTGACATAAATCACAGCAGGATCATCTAATAGCCACCTCGCAGAGTAATGGACATAAAAGCAAAAGTAAACAAATGGGACCTGTTTAAACTTAAAATCTTTTGCACAATGAAGGAAACTGTAAACAAGGTGAAAAGACAGCTTTCAGAATGGGAGAAAATAATAGCGAAAAAAGCAACTGACAAAGAATCTCAAAAATACACAAGCAGCTCATGAAGCTCAATACCAGAAAAAAAAGCGACCCAATGAAAAAATAGGCCAAAGAACTAAACAGACATTTCTCCAAAGGAGACAAACAGATGGCTAACAAACACATGAAAAGATGCTCAACATCACTCATTGTCAGAGAAATGCAAATCAAAACCACAGTGGGTTGCTATCTCATGCCAGTCAGAATGGCTGCTCTCAAACTCTCAAAAAGTCTACAAGCAATAAATGCTGGAGAGGGTGTGGAGAAAAGGGAACCCTCTCACACTGTTGGTGGGAATGTAAACTAGTACAGCCACTATGGAGAAGAGTGTGGAGATTCCTTAAAAAACTGGAAATAGAACTGCCATACGACCCAGCAATCCCACTACTGGGCATACACACGGAGGAAACCAAAATTGAAAGAGACAACATGTACCCCAATGTTCATCACAGCACTGTTTACAATAGCCAGGACATGGAAGCAACCTAGATGTCCTTTGGCAGACAAATGGGTAAGTTGTGGTACATGTACACAATGGAATATTACTTAGCTATTAAAAATAACACATTTGAGTCAGTCCTCATGAGGTGGATGAAACTGGAGCCTATTATACAGAGTGAAGTAAGTCAGAAAGAAAAACACCAATACAGTATGTTAATGCATATATATGGAATTTAGAAAGATGGTAATGATAACTCTATATGGGAGACAGCAAAAGAGACACAGATAAAAAGAACAGAGTTTTGGACTCTGTGGGAGAAGGCAAAGGTGGAATGATTTGAGAGACTAGCATTAAAACATGTATATTTCCATATGTGAAATAGATGACCAGTCCAAGTTCGATATATGAAACAAGGCACTCAAAGACAGTGCAGTGGGACAACCCAGAGGGATGGAGTGGGGAGAGAGTTAGGAGAGGGGTTCAGGACGGGGGGATACATGTATACCTGTGGTTAATTCATGTCAATGTATGGCAAAAACTACCAAAATATTGTAAAGCAATTAGCCTCCAATTAAAATAATTAACTTTTTTAAAAAGTACTGTGAATTGGATGGTTATATATATATATATACACATATATATATATATATGTAATATATATATATAGAGAGAGGGTCATCTCAATTATAGCCACAGGCATGTGGAAGTAAAATTTGCTGAAATCTAGGATTTGGCCTTAGATATATTATCATGGTGAGATGGAAATGATATATCTTGATTTGCTTCAATATCAAGCATATATTATATGAAATAAGCTTGGGCTTTTCATTGGAATAAATTGTTTATATTCACTTTTTAAAACATGAAAAGTAATAAGAAACTGCCACAACCCTATCTCCAAAATAAATACTGATCAATATTATATACATAAAACTGGATTTACTTGTATATATACTTCTTTTAAAATACCATGTCTAAATAAATGAGATATCCATGTAAATCCTATAATTATATAGCATCAGCTAACAGTTATTGAATGGTTTGTTTGTAACAGGAAATATTCTAAGTATTAACCATATTAATTCATATAATCCTCATAACCACTTGATTCAATAGGTAATATTATTGTCATATTTCACAAGGAAACTGAAGCAATGAGTGATTTACCAAACTTGCTAGAAATAATACATATTTCAAGTAGCAGAGCTAGGATTCAAATCCATACAATTATGGTACAGGCCCTGTGTTCTTAATAGCTATGCTATACTGGCTCTCAATTATCACAAGATAAAAGAAGCAATCAGTATCATTCTCATCCAGTGAAAACCAGTTTGGGTGTATCCTCCACACTACCATGTCTTGCTCTATAATCACATAAGCAATTATATTTTGAACCTCTTGAAAAGATGCTGGATTTTCAGTTTAGTTATTTAAAAAAGCAAACAATCCCCCCTCCAGTGGCAACCACTCCAATCTCTCATGACTTTCTCTGTAATATTACAAACATATACCAAATAAACCTTTTTTAGGTTTATAACTCCTTACATGAATATATCATTTCATGTCCATTGTTCCTCAACATTTTTACCACAGAACAGTATATCATGTAGATCCTTCTACTTTAATAGAAACAGATCTAATTTTTCCCTTTAAAATTTATAATGATTACACCATAATTTAGTCATCCATTCCCTTACAAAAGGAAAATCTTTATAATTCATTTTCATTAAAACAATGATGCAGTATGCAGCTTACCTACCTTTTAGATAGGGCAGATATCTAATAGTAAAAATAATGCTGGATCCACAAACCAGAGAATGAGAGAAAATATTTTCTTTTTTTTTTTCATTTATTTTTATTAGTTGGAGGCTAATT